ATCCTGGAGAAGATGATCGAGGAAAAACCTAGGGCGTGGCACGACTTGCTCCCCGAAGCTCTTTGGGCTTACCGAACCTCAAAGCGGTCGGCCACGGGCACATCTCCTTACGCCCTAACCTACGGTCACGACGCCATCATCCCGATGGAGTTAAAAGTTCGGTCTCTCCGTGTGGAATTATGCACAAGCCAAGGCTCAGGAGTTGGAAGATTTGGAGCAATCTAGACTCGATGCCTATAACCTAATGCAGGCACAAAAGCAAATCGCGGCGAGGGTGTATAACAAAAGAGTTAAGCAAAAGGCTTTCGCCGAAGGCGACCTAGTATGGCGAGCCGTGCTTCCTATTGGGACAAAAGACCCTCGGTTCGGCAAATTCTCGCCCAATTGGGAAGGGCCGTTCATTATCGAACGAATTCTCGGCCGAGGTGCATTTCAATTAAAAGATAGAGATGGGGAATGGCACAACTTGCCGATCAACGGCCAGTATTTGAAGCGATATACCCCGTCATTGTGGGAGACGGCCGTAAAAAAGTTATGAGATTCGCAAATATCAAAGTGGAGTATGCAACATGACAAGGACAGACTAAAGGAAATCATACTTCATTTTATTTATTTAGGTTAAAAAGGGGGTTGCGTTTACAAGGAGACGGCCAGGTCCTGGCCGAGTACAAACACACATAAGAAAAATCACATCCTAAATCTACGCGCTTCGGCTCCTTGGTCCTCTTGTCAGACAATCAGACGCTTTCCCCCAAGGCAGGGCCTCCGCCACCTACATCACCATCAACCACGGCCAGCCTCAAGCCAAAGCTTCACCACAGGCCGTGGAAAGCACACGGGCCGGCACTCTGGACACAGAGGGCAGCTGCGACCCTAACCGTGGTAAGCAGTCGCCATTCCGACGGTGACAACGGCCGTCGTTCAGGCCGTGATAGCGGCCATCACTCTGGGCATGGTAAGCGGTCGTCATTCCAATTATGGGAGGAGCCATCACTCCAACCATGGTAAGGGCCGTCACTCTGGCCATGGACGTAAGTACTCAGCCGCATAAATTCGGCCATGGCGAATTCATCATCCCAGGTCCTCTCGCCCTCATCAAACTGCCAAGTCATCTGGACCAGGCCAAATTGCCAAGTCATGAGACTCAGCAGGGTTGGTTCTCTGGTTTTGACGAAGCTGCAATGAGGATCATTAGGGCAGTTTGGAATAAGGGAGGGCGAAGCCCAGGAATCGAAGA